AGTGGTACTTAACCACTGAGCTGAATCTCTAGTCCTTTTTAATTTTAATTTTGAGACTGGGTCTTGCTAAGTTGCTGAGGCTGGCATTGAACTTGGAATCTTCCTACCTTAACCGCCCCAATTGCTGGGATTACAGGCATATGCTTTGAGTCTTCATTAAAACTCATTTTAGTCAGAGTTATACGATTAAAAGTCCCTTTATGTTGTCCTATCTTCTACATGTAGGTAGTCCTAAAATGTTAGAAGTTAGCTCAGTGGTAGATCACTTATTTTACCATGTGTGATACTCTGGGTTCAATCCCTGGTGCACAAAAGGGAGAAAAAAAATGCCTTCAACATTCATTACTGTATTCCATCCTGAACTTGTTTGAGTTATTTTATATTCTGTGTTACAGCAGGTAATGATGCTCTTCAGGTGGAGATGAACATTTTCACTTTCCTCTGTGTGCTCCCTACAGTAGTATAGTGTTCTTCCAACTTTTTTACTCAGGTATTATGTGGAAGAATGGTGAACAACTTTTGTTTCCCTTTGCATTTTTAAAAATCCTTCATTTTTCACCATAAATTTAAATAGTTCTTAAGAACCTGCTATGGACTTTGAATGTTTTATTAGATTCGTGTTAAAGTATCTTTGGAATTGTTTTTACAGTGCCCCAACCACAATGATAAACAAATAGACTGAGGGCATTCTAGTTAAGTCTTCTGTTTTTTCTACCTCAGCAGAACCTTCTAAGTCCCAGACCCGAAAACCAAAGTGTGGCAAAGGAACGCATTGCTCTCGAAATGCATACATGTTGGTTTATCGACTGCAGACACAAGAAAAGCCCAACACGATGGTTGAAGTTCCAGGTAATCCCTTTCCTTGGATCATACCAGCAATGTGTTTAGGAATGACATGATCAAAGGTTAATGATAAGCAGAGATTCCTTTAAAGTAGTGAGCTTTTGAAATAAAGAGCCTTAGGACTGTTCCATTACCTTCCCCACCCCCACGCCAAAGAAAGGCAGAAGCAGTCTTTAGACAATTACAAAGGTAATCAGAGCTTTTGGTTTTATCTTTTTCAGTTTATAGAGCAAAGAGTTACTAACTGCCCAAGGCAGTCTTCTGTTGGCTTACCTAGTTCTGTGCCAACCTCTGTGGCATCATCCGTTTCAAAGTGGTGTTTTTGAGCCATTTGGTGGTTCTAGGTGACTGGCATGTCATAGAGAAGTAGGTAGCTAGCAGGAGATATAGTTTAGTTGCTAGAGTGCTTGCTTTGCATGTACAAGGCCCTGGGGTGTAATTCCCTGCGCCCTGCGCGCGCGCGCGCGCGCACACACACACACACACACACACACACACACACACACACACACACACACATAGTAGTAGTAGTAAGTAGAAGGGGATTTTTCTAATGTTATTGACAGTTTCTTCCAGAATGGGAGACCATAGTAGGAAGTTGTCTCCAAGACTTTAGCTGATACTTGATATCTTTATCCACATTACTACCTGAAGTATAAAGTTGTTTTTTGTCTTTATGTTTTGAATAGCCTTTCTTCAAGAGCTGGTAGATCGGGATAATTCCAAATTTGAGGAATGGTGTATTGAAATGGCTGAGATGCGTAAGCAAAGTGTGGATAAAGGAAAAGCAAAACACGAAGAGGTTAAGGAGCTGTACCAAAGGTTACCTGCTGGAGCTGGTCTGTAAGATATTCTAGGACAGCACTGTTGTCATTAAGTGCCTTGTGTTGTTTATGTTCACAAAAAATGTATCTGAGCAGACTTTTTCCTGCCCTTTCTATACCCCACTTAAGCAGTTTATACGTTTGAAATTACTATGTAATCCAGTAATAACATGATGTGTAGCATTCCCTACAGTTCTCATTAACATGTACTTTAAAATTGGGAAGCTGTTAATAAATTGTAAGGTGTAGGCCAGCACTTTGCAGGCGTGACTTCTGTAGATTTTTCCACTTGGTGAGATACGCATTTGTTTCTTTAAAATTATCTAATTGCATTACTCTGGAAGCAGTTTGTCTGTTTTTTTTTTTCTTTGCATATTTTGTGCCCTACTAGTATTAATAGGCATATTTTTTATGAGTATGATTTTTATAGTATTTGATTAACTTGAAATTTATTACCAAATGTTACAAGGGGAGTAGAATAGTTTTTTGTTCATTGATTTCTTTAGATTAGTGCACATCCTTTTTTTACTGTTTATCCAAATGTATGCAGTGTCTCAAAAAGGAAACCAACCTTTTGAAGGCTAACATGCCTTTGGTTATAAGTTATGTTTGTCATTTCACAGACATGAGTTCCCCATATCTAATTGTAGCTGATGGAAGACAACTCAGTTCTAGGCAGCTTGCACTTATGGTTTTCTCTTTTTGATCTCTTTAATTTTTCAACTACAGTTACACCTTTAAACAAAGATGATTACAAATTGCCTTAACAATAGCTTTTTAAAAGTCTTTCTAGGGGTTAGGGTTTAGCTCAGTGGAAGAGCTCTTGCCTAGCTTGCGAAAGCCCCTGGGTTCAATCCCCAGCACCTTAAAAAAAAAAGTTCTTAAAAAAAAAAGTTCTTTTCAAACTGCTTCTTCATTTGATTCTGACCCTTCTTTGTAACCTGTTACTTGAACGCTGTTCGAGGGTTGGGATTATCCTAAAGAATTGGACTGATAATTCAACAGGAAATTATTTGGAAAGGAACCCATGATTCACACCTAAATTTATCCGCCTTGTTCAAAGGAGTTGGGACCTAGAAATCTGTTTTCTGAACTTGATTCACAGTTTCCTGAATTCTGCACAAGAGAAAAAGACTTCCTGGATCTAAAGTGACATGCTGTTGTGAGGGCTGGGGGTGTAGCTCAGTGGTAGACTGCTTACCTGGCTCGCAAGAGGCCCTGAGTTCGATTCCAGCACTAAACAAAGAAAAAAGAAAGAAAGAAAGAAATGCTGTGAATATTGTGAACCACTCTATAAAGTATACGGTCCAAAGATGTTATATGTCAAATTATCACTGTGCTTCCCATGGCTGTTTTAGTTAGTGTATAAGAACCTGTGCTTATGTTTTTAGAGTATTTCTCCATGTTATCTATACTTTTATCAACTACAAGGTTTATATATATATTTTTGTCCATTAGTAATAATTTGCATTGTGGGAAGTTACGTTGTCCTTAAAATGATGTAAAAATCTCAAAGTCAGTGACCATGGTTTTATGCTGCCAAAGTCTTCCTTATGCATTTTCTAAATCTTTGTGAACATATTTTTTAAAGGGCCAATTATCCTAACATCTGAGGATATGAATCCTTTGGCTCTTGTTATTTAATTATTTAGTTTGAGACATACTTAAATTATTTCTAGGTAAAGTGTTTCAAATATTTTTGGTACTGTGACTGTTCAAATATCTTTGATACTGTGATTGTTCTAGACTTGTATCTTTCCAAAAGAAAATTTGTTGCATTCAAAAAGAATTTTTTTTTTTTTAAACTTTGGTTTAGAGGGTTTTTTTTTGGGTTTTGTTTTGTTATATCTCCCTTCAGTAAATGTTTTTTACTTCTGGTTCAAGCACTGAGATGACATACAGTCTGGTATCCTCACCTTGACCATGAGAGTGGATTCCTTCCTGGGAGTTGGCTGCATGCCTTTGGAAGGCAATACCTTAGCAGTTGACTGAATGAAAAATACTAGGGGCCACCTTTGAGGGCTTTGCTACTGAGTCTTTTTTTAGGGAGAGAAACATTTGTAGTATAATAATTTTGCCACAAGCAAAGTCTGTCTTGTGTAAATAAGCCTTGTGCTGTACCCCTGTTCTCAAGGACACTCTTGGAGAGATCCATACAGTTCTTAAAAGTAAATTGAAAATGGAAAGACCTTGTGAACACAGCCTCTCTTCTTTCATGGGTCCCCCAGCACACTAAAATGAAATCTGGAAAATGGCTGAGTTAATAATCAGTGTGGTGTTAGATCACTATGTGGACCCAGTTTCTGCTCTCTTATGTTCTTACTATAAAACCATGCATACTTTTTTTAAAACTTTGTATCTTATATTGACCTATTTAAAAGCTAGAACAATAAGCTTTGTTTGGAAGTTTTCAATAGGTCTCAAACAGGGGATTGGAAGATGTTAAAAGTACCTGCCTTTTTGACTCATAGGTGTTTAGGGTCATCTTGGGCCTGGATTCCAGCAGATACTTCCTGGGAAAGGAATTACATACACTTGAATTTTCCTATATTTCCTTTCCTTGTAATGAGTAGTTTCTGATGGTTTTATTATTTCAGTTGGCAAAGTAGACATTGCCCTCTCTTCACTCTCTCTAGCCTGGGTAGATCAGAACACCTATTAAATTTTCTTGAATAGTTGCTCTGTATCATAATCTGATTTATCCTTCTTTGAGAGTCTTCAGATGACTCAGAATTTTAATCTATGTGATATACCTGGGGCAAGATTAGAGATACTGAGCCTTTTATTTCCCTCTTAGTGCTCATTTATCTTTACATTCTTGAGATATACCCAGTGTGCTCTGTCCTTGCAGGTTAAACTGCATAAATGACCAATAAAATATTGGAGGTGTTTAGAAAATAATTGATCTTACCATGTTATAGGATGCCAGAACTATGTGACCTGTACCACATCTTAAGGTCTCCTGGTTTATATGTTGTGTGAATGCATAATTAACTTTTCTATATCTCTTTCCTTCCAAAAAGCTCAAAATGCTTCATATATCTTATCTTTTACACTCAACAACATCCCTGTGAGGTAGGTAGAAGGCAGGTATTATTACCTTCATTTTACAAATAAAAGACCTGAAGCATAGAGTTTAAGTGACTTGCTCAAGTTCAGTTTCTCATTGGCAGAACTTGGATTAGACGTTGGTCCCAACAGGAGGTCCTGTGCTCTTCCTCCAGTGCCTATCTTAGAGCCCCCAGTTGAAAGCTCCTTGATGATGTCCAGTTTTAGCTCCAATAGTGATCTGACAGTCCACATTTCGTTTTTGTAAAGACTGACAAGTCTACAGTGGGAGTTAGTTTTCTAGACATATAACTCTTAGAAGTGTAAAGTTGGTCAAAATAGCTTTGTATTGAAGCATATGTCCCTCAGATCGCACCAAAAGTAGCATCTAATACAAACACGTGAATTCAACCTCTGTATGTTTTCTTCTATGTTTTATGCTGGGACTCACTGGAGACCTTTGTAAGTAATCAAAAGCTGTCCCTTTATTTTTAATTTTGACTTTTAGGGAATGCTGGGATTCCCTTTCTCCAAATTCATGTTTGGTTTTAAATTTTTGCAACTGAAAAATTGATCATAGTTCACTTCCAGTGTACTTTACCCTGGAACTTGTTTAAAATGTTACTTTCTCGAAATAATAATGAGATGAATGGATCATGACATGGATTTTGAAGGGGGATATAACTTTTTTTAATTGACACCAATATTATTTTGGATGCAGAAAAGTCAGTAGTTGCAATAGGCTTGTAAAATGCGGTTGTAACTGTCAAGGGTGATAATTGCTAACTTAGAGCTCAGCCTTGTTTCTTTTTTAATTTTCAAATGTATATCACGCATTCGTGAAAAGTGTTTATAAAAGTAATTGATGAAATAAACATAGTGAGGGATGAAGTTGTGTGATTTATGAGCCAGTGTGGAGCACGACTTGTAGTTTCCACACAAGGTGTCCTGATCAAAGCTCTGCTGTGCTACCAAGCAAGACACTTCTCTGTGTGGATGCGTCTTGTAGAATGGGGTTAATAATACCAGCCGATCTCATAGGGCGCTGTGCAGACACTGGCCCCTAAAGCAGAGGAGATGATTAATTGGGGCTTCGCCTTGCTCCTTAGACCACTCCGAGCAATGATTCTACTGATTTTGCTAACTTTGTACAGTGCATTGTCTTTTGAGGAAAGTGACTATATCTTTTAGTACAAACACTGTAAAAATACATAGTGTCTTTCTGTTGCTTTCTTCCTCAGAGCCCTATGAGTTTGTCTCCCTGGAATGGCTTCAGAAGTGGCTGGATGAGTCGACACCCACCAAGCCTATTGATAATCACGCTTGCCTGTGCTCCCACGACAAGCTTCACCCTGACAAAATTTCAATTATGAAGAGAATATCTGAGTATGCGGCTGACATTTTCTACAGTAGATACGGAGGAGGCCCAAGACTAACTGGTAACTCCAGATATCTTTTCAGCATCTACAGTTCACGTGGGCCAGGCACCGTGGTGCACGCCTATAATCCAAATGGCTGGGGAGGCCGAGCAGGAGAATTGCAAGTTCAAAGTCAACCTCAGCAAGGTTGTGAGGCCTTAAAGTAACTTAGCAAAAATAAAAACAGGCTGGGGATGTGACTTAGTGGTCAGTCGCCCCTGACTGGTTCAATCCCTGGTATAGAAAAAAAGAAAAAGAGTGCATGTGGGCCTCATGAATTGGGGTCTGGTGATTTGACACAATTAGACCAAGTGTTCCTATAATTTGGAAGAAGGATTTGTGAAATAAAGTAGATGTTTAGCAGTGTTATTAGAGGAAGTTTATTTGATGCCCCCTCCGACCCCCACTGTACCAAGTAAACAAAATAGGACCCTTTAGAGAAAACTGTCTTGTGGTAGTTTGTGGGTTTCCATTATTCTCTTTAAAATATTTGAAACTTTGGTCGATTCTGTATCCCAGTCCTCCCAGGCTCTAGGGGATTTCTGACAGGCTGTGGAGTGGTACTCAGGTAACCATCTACACTGCTGGTTGTTACTTAGTTTACGAGTAGTAACTGCTTGATTTTTACCTTGAATGGTAGAGCTCTGTATAGTCAGGTGTCTGTGACCTCTTGGTTCTGCTTACTTTCCTTGAAACATTTTATTTTCAGTGAAGAACTGGCAACACTGGTCCCTCTGGATTATAAAGGAGGCACAGCATCCTCCCTCTTTCTGAAGTAAATGCTGTTTTCTGATTGTGTACAATTTTCTTTCCTTTTTTTTTTTTGGTGCTGGGAATTGAATTGAAAACTCGACCTTTTCTGAATTTTATATAGAGACAGGGTCTCATTGAGTTGCTTAGTGCCTTGCTTTTGCTGAGGCTGGCTTTGAACTCATGATCTTCCTGCCTCAGTCTCCTGAGCTGCTGGGATTATAGGTGTGCGCCACTGTGCCTGGCTATAAGTTACTCTTAACTGACATTTAACTACAGACTTCAGTCCTTATATACACACCTGGAGTTTTGCTTTCTAAATTTCCATTCTAAATCTGGTGAAATTAATAAGCTGTTCAAAGGAACAAACAGCAATGGAAATGTCTTTCCATAGAATCACATTTCATATGATTCCTTGAAGTTTTGCATATTTTAGTCAGGCCCTTTGTTTCTTTTTCCTTTAGTATTCTCTGCTTAGAGGATCACCTCGATACAAAGGTCCTTCTATTTATAGTTGTCAGATGTAATGACTTCCCTCAGCCTTAATTATTTGATTATCATCAAATTTGCATTTAAACCTTGTAATGTATTATACTTTGTTTTTAAGTAACTAGAGCAGACTAAAACATTTTCTCTTCATATAGGTAACAGTTGCTGTCTTGAAACTTAAATCACCAAAGTAACTTAAGATATATACCCGTGTGCTATATTGCCAAAGTTTGTCATAGTTTAGAATCCCCCTGTTTATGAAGTGTCTACAGCCTTTTCCTAAGGAAGCATGTGTGAATGAAGTGTTTCTTTTCACTTTCTCGCTTGCAGTGAAAGCCCTGTGTAAGGAATGTGTAGTTGAGCGCTGTCGTGTATTACGCCTGAAGAACCAGCTAAATGAAGATTACAAAACTGTTAATAATCTTCTAAAAGCAACAGTAAAGGGGTACGTTGCACAGCACATTGATCATGGTAAACTGAAAATCTGAAAGTAATAAGGAAACATCTTATTAAAAAAAAAGAGTTTGGGTTTTCAAAAGAAGGTTGAAGTAGATGGCAAAACTAGGTCAAAAGTTAAGTTGTGCAGTTATTAATGGCCTAGTGACAACATGAGTGTCAAGTCATCCGCTGTTTGTGGCTTCCATCCACTGGGGAGGAAGGAGCAGAATGTGGGTCTGAAGCCCTGTTGGGGTGGGGGCTGCTCAGTCCCCTTCTTCTGTGAAGCCTGTGAAGTGGCTGGCACTGAGCCCCTGTGGGAGGCTGAAGTAGGATGGCAATCACTGGAGCCCAGTGGGGCATCTCTTCAGAGAAGGTCAGCACATTGGAGTATGCTGGGCCCCACCTATAGGGCACCTTTGTGCTCAGGGACATCATTAATGGATGGAATTTTGATAATTTGAGAAATAAATTAATTTCTCTCCAATGAGGATTAATATAGTTGACTATCTTGGGTCATTTCACTAACAGCCTGCTGAGTGATGTGCTGTGGTGCAGGTGCAGGCGTAGTGGAGTTCTGCGCGGCAGCTAGAATGCACAACTGTGTGAACAGGAGTAGAACCAAGTAAAGAATGTGCCTATGTAATTGGCTCAATTAGTATAAATATAAATAGGAGGTAGGAGAAGTAAGATAGGATGGAAACAAGCGGTTGGATACCTGCAGGTCCGTGTAGTGAGGCCTGAGCTGGCCAAAATGAGGAGGTGGGTTAAGGAAAACTGCGCCCCCACAGCTGATTTTCAATGTGATTCTTTTTGGTGTGGCCTTCACAGACCTAGAATGGAGGAGAACATTAGGATGATTCTAACATTCACTATTCCACAGCACTGATGGATTTTGGGTGGGGAAATCCTCCTTGCGGAGTTGGCGTCAGCTAGCGCTTGAGCAACTAGACGAGCCAGATGGTGAAGTAGACCAAAGCAACGGGAAAGTGAACGGCAGCACCTTCAGTAAAGGTACCGCGGGAGCTCATTGTGAAATTGAACATGT